TTAAGGCAAGACAGCCCGGGCAGAACCCTAGGGTTGGTATGGATGGCCGACGAAGACGCCCTAACCTTCAAAACATCGATAAATAGGGTGCCGCAGGAGGTAAAGGCGTTACAGCGACCACCGACCAAGAGCGAAGCATTAAGCGCAGTCATGTCTGTGTTTGACCCGCTCGGACTGATTAGCTACCTCACTATCACCGCCAAGATCCTGCTACAAGACCTATGGCGTATGAAGAAGGTCGGATGGGATGACGAACTACCCAAGGAGGCACCGGATGAGTTATAGAGGTGGCTGCGAGTCGTCGAGGAGGTGTCACGACTGCGACTGCCAAGGTGCGATGCTCCTACGGGGGGAGTGGTACAGCGTCAACTTCACATATTTAACGACGCAAGCGAACGTGCGTACGCATCCGCGGCATATTAGCAAATACGATACAGCGACGGAACGGTAAGGGTACGTGTTTTGGTATTAAGGTTCACTACTTTTACAGGGACTGATCACAGAAACAAGGTGTCAATGATACGGTGGTTTATTTGCTACTAAACATTTAAATTACATTTTACCTTATTAAAGACCTCACTCACACTTGTATACTGTTCATCTTACATACAACACACACGCATTACAATATTGCTCGAACATGCCGCTCACCAAAGGACTCATAAAGTCCTTTATTATCTAACTTGTTACATTTCAGACATTCTCCAAATATAATAGTTTTACATGACATTTGTTATACAATATATGTGATTACATATATTTTTGATAAAGGTAACACCCTAAATTCATTAAGCTTTATAGTAATGGACATATTCCAATAAAATAAAAAAAATAAAAACTATTTGACACAGTTTTTTATGTAAATGGGAATACATACTAGAACATTTAATACATGCAAAATAAAATTTAACCATAAATGATTTAGAATAAAACATCAGTCTATATCTATAGGTAAAGGACACAATTTGTTCATTGGTCTTTGCACTACACTTTCACCACTTTTAACACTATACACCCTAGTCACTCCATCATGACCTGGGTGCTTATCCACCACACGACCCAGCATCCATTTGCCAGGAGGGAGATGGTCACATTTTATAAGAACAATGCGTCCTATTTCAAATTCCTTCACTTTTTCTTGCCACTTAGGTCTCTGCTGTAACCTGGTCAAGTACTCTTGTTGCCATCTTCGCCAAAAATCTGATAGAAGCTTCTGTTGATGTTGCCATCGTGACAAGTGACTGACAGGAATGTTCTTTAGATCAGAGTGGGGTACATTGATTGGAGCTTCGCCTATTAAGAAGTGCCCTGGGGTAAGTGGCAGTATGTTGTCCGTGTCTGAGTCATCAATAGGGCTAAGCGGGCGTGAGTTAAGGCAAGCTTCTATTTGACACAGTAAGGTCGTCATTTCTTCATAGGTTAGGTTGCAAGTCAATATTCTTTTCATGTTGTATTTCATTGATTTGACACCTGCTTCCCATAATCCGCCCATGTGAGGACTATAGGCAGGTATGAAATGCCATTGTGTGCCATCTAATGCTAACATTTCAGAAATATGACCCTCAAACTTCATCTTTGCGTCTGCCCAAGCTGCTACAAGTTCTTTGTTGGCACCTACGAAGTTTCTTCCCGGGTCGCTCCAGAGATGTGCACGTCTTCCCCTTCTTGCTACAAATGTTCTGAAAGCTCCAATAAAGGCCTCCGAGGTAAGGTCTCCAACCAATTCTAGGTGTATGGCTTTCGTTGACATACAAACAAAGATTGCTATGTAAGCCTTAATTGTATTAAATCCTCTACCTTTAGATCTCAGGATTTGGTAAGGGCCAGCAAAGTCTACTCTACTGTGTAGAAAGGGACGAGCAGGCGTAATTCTTACACGAGGTAAGTCTCCCATTAATTGTGATTTAGCTATAGCGTTTTGCTTGGCACATATGAGGCAATTGCGAATTTTAATTTTTACCAATTTCTTTGATTTCAGGATTTCAGGAGTATTTTAATCTTAAATATCCAAGCATCAATTGCGTTCCACCATGTAGTGTCTTCAAGTGAGCATCAGATACTATAAGTGCACTCAAGTGATTTTCACTGTCTAATATAATAGGATGTTTGCAATTTTCATCAAGGTCAGAGTGACGTAATCGGCCGCCCACCCTGAGGATACCTTCATCATCCAGGTAAGGTAAAAGAGACTTTATTTTACTATAATTTTTTACCCTTTTTATTGATTTTAGGTTTTGTATGTCTTCTTCAAATGTGTTCCTTTGTACAATTTTTATACATGTTTTTAAAGCTTCTTCTAATTCTTTTGTAGTTATTGTAGTTGCCTTATTTTCCAATTCCCTTCCTTTGAAGAATCTTTTGCAATATGTTATAACTTTTAATAGTTCTGTTAAATTATCAAATCTGTTAAACTTAGTAGCTATACTAGAACTTTCGTTTGTTTGTTTTAGATTCACTTGTAGTGATATGATCTTTCTTTCTAGGTTCGTTGTTATGTTTGCTGGTCTGCTGTATTTAATATTACTTGTGCTTTGCCATTCAGGACCGTTCCACCACATTTTATCACCTTTCAGATCTAGCACGTGCTTTCCTCTAGAAGCTGCATCAGCAGGGTTGTCTTGTGATTGGACGTGATACCAGTTCTGGTTGCCAATGTTGTCTAATATCTCAACAACTCTGTTTCTCACAAATGTATTCCACCTTGCAGGATCTCCCAAAAGCCAAGAGAGTACTATGGTGGTATCCGTCCACGCGAATATTTGACAGGTAGGTATTTTCATAGCTTCCTTTATTTTTTTCAGGAGTCCCGCCAGGAGTACAGCCCCGTTAAGCTCCAAACGAGGTAAGGATTGAGGTTTGATAGGAGCTAAACGTGTTTTCGCTGCAATTATTTCTGTCTTAACCAATCCATCTATAGTTTGAACTCTTAAGTAAGCAACTGCAGCGTATGCTTGAGTAGATGCGTCATAAAAGCCATGAACTGTAACATTATTCATTACATTTTCAGATGTATGCAGCCACCGGTTGATCTCTACCTCAGGTAAGTATTGGTAGGTTTCTCGCAGTTTTCTCCATTTTTCTGCAATTAAGTGGTTAACTTATTCATCCCATGAAATTCCTTGTATCCATAAATGTTGGATGAGTAATTTTGCAGGCAATATAGAAGGTGCTAACCAGCCAAGTGGATCAAATAATCTTTGAATATCGGCTAGGATTGTTCTCTTAGTTACAGTAGCAGCCATAGAAGGTAAGTGAAGACTATATTTAAATACATCCTTTCCCATAGAAGTATTAGGCTTAGAACCGCAGTAGGCGCACGGAAAGTGAAGCCATTTCAAGTTAGCCTTTAAAGGCTAAGTACGACTTTTGGCGCGTTAGTGCTCGAGTCCACGTAGTCGTGTAAACAGCTCGCACAATTTTTCAAAAAAATGACGTACTGTACAGTGAAAGGGTATCACAACTCATCACGTAATCACGAAAAAACTGTAAAAATTTCATATCACGATTAATTACTGCCTAGCATCTTATATTTTTGTAAAAAACATTCATCAAAATAAAATAATAAATAATAAATTTGACAGACGCCAATATAATGAAAATGTTGCTAGGCATAGTAAAATATTTTACCCCATTTTTTCTTATTATTATAATTATAAAAAATACATATTGAAAAAAATACATACATACTGCCAATAGTCTCATTCACATATAAATAGGTATTTTATTTGCCAAATATTATTAGGGTTTCCATTTGCCACGAAAAAAAATGTGTTGATTTTATTTTGTTTTGATAATGTGCATTTGTTTTTACCTTTTTATGGTATGAGTTTTAGGATAAATAACATAGCCTATGATTGTTTTTTTATTCTTATTTACATATATTTAACATTTTTAGTTTGATTCTTTTATGAATATAGAAAAGATAACATTTCGAGGATAGCGTCATCAAGGCGGCAGTTGCTTAGAAAACAGTTGCAATTTAAGGGTCATTAAGAGATATGTTTTAAGTACTTGGGTATAATGAGTTTATATTATTTCATAAAAAAATTTAATTTCATGTTTTATTTGAATAGTTCATCTTCTTCCGATTCTTATTTTGTTTTAAAGCAAAACATAATATTCAATAAAGAAATAATAATAATCACTTGAATCTGACCACACTCTTAAGTCTCGTGATTCCTTCTAATATTATATCCATTCCGTGAAAGTTGTATGTTGTAACCTTTACGTTGAAACCGATTTAAATTAAATATATCACGTAGATTTTTAGAATGGCAAGAATCGAAATCAGTGTATGCTTTAATATGCGGGTGAAGCCGCGGGCCACAGCCACAGTTAGTAAGATATAACTAATGGAAAAATATCTGACAGCTAAAATGATTATCTGACAACTATTCACTTGTTAAGTGTCAGTGGGTCTGGATTGAAAAAACTGAAAGAAATAGACGTAGGCATTTGCCTCCTCCATTTCTTCCACTTCTCCATATATCATAGACTAAGGCCATTGAGTATTATATAAAAATTAATATTTACAAATAATATAAGATTTTATGGAAGATAAATAACAGATATTTATATAAATATATAAATATACCACTTCTAACAGAATAATATAATTACAGATTTTTTTACTTAATTATAATTAACAGATTTTTGATTATAATTAACAAATATATAAATTTCTCAATATAACACAAGATGTTACGTATATAAATAATTTAAATATTACATAAGTTAACAAAAATAAATAATGTTACATTTTTCTCTTTACAAAAAGTTAATAAATAATTATAAACGCAACCTAAATATTAATTCTATGACGATGTCTACTATTACATTCTACCCACTTTTTGGGTAAAATGTCATTAACTTGCAAAAATTACTCATTTGCTTGTATGAGTGTGGGCAAACGTAATTACAGGCCGCTTATGCACACATTCATTGTGTTGTTGCTTCAACTTTGAACGGGATTTTGAATGTCACTATCACTCTATGTATAATTACTCTAAGTCCTTTCCCATGTCCCATTGTAAGCCCAGTGCCCGTATTGTTCCATCTATCTTTATATCTAGGTGTACTTGAGAACTTCTTTCAGAGGGTTCAAATTGTTTTAAGAACTCTGCGTTGTTTGAGCAACACTTCTGTAGTGTGAAACCTCCCTTCTGCAAAATAAACCCAATCTCTTTCGCTACTTTTATTGCATCTTGAAGTGTGTCCTTGCCTGACATCAGATCATCCATGTAAAAGTCTTCCTTTATAATTCTGGCAGCATCAGAGTAATCTCGACCTTCGTCTTCCGCAACTTGATGCAAGGTTCTTACTGCTAAATATGGAGCAGAAGCAGTTCCAAACGTAACTCTCAGGAGACGATAATCTTGTACTGGTTGGATTTTGCAATTTCTCCATAATATCCTTTGTAAATCTCTATCTTCTTTTGACACTAAAATTTGACGGTACATTTTTTGGATGTCAGCAACAAAACAGACCCTTTTCATTCGCCATCTCATGATTAAGCTTCTCATGTCGTCTTGCAACTGTGGTCCTACCAGTAGCTCTTCATTGAGGGAAATATTACTGTTTCCCTTTTGCGAAGCATTAAAAACTGTTCTCACTTTACTTGTTTCTTTATCTTGCCTTACAACGGCATGATGAGGAAGGTATACTGCTGGGTTGTTAATTTCATTTTCTGGTACTCTCTCTAAATGATTTAACTCTATATATTCTTGCATCACCCTTGTGTATTCACTTTCTAAGCTTTGATCTTTTTCGAATTTCTTTTCTAATTGATACAAATTTCTTAGTGCTATATCTCTTGTTCTTCCTGATGGTGATAAAAGTGTTTTTTGTTTTGTTGGAAGTTTTACAATATAACGTCCTTCTGATGTTCTGTGCGTTGTAGCTTGATATATTTCTTCACATGTTTTTTCTTCTGCTGTTAATGCTCTTTTTCATCTGTAGCTTGCTCCCACATATTCCTTAGCATGTCATCTAAATTCAAATTAAGATGCATGACACTGACCTCATAATTTTCTCTGTTGCTTTGTATGTGGCCAAACAGAATCCATCCCAGGCTGGTATTTTGAGCACATGGAGTGCCTGGAGGACCTTTGATTACTTCACCTTTCATAATTTGGGCACATACGTCCACACCTAATAACATATCTATCCGTCCTGGTTGATTGAAGCCTGGATCTGCTAATACGAGGCCTTGGAGGTGTGAACAGTTCTTCAGGCAAATGGTTCGAGTTGGTAACTGACATATAAGACGAGTTGGCATTATGTAAACTTTGATATTGAGGTTAAAGTTTGCTTCGTATCTTGATAAAAGTTGTATTTCAGCAGCTTGCTTCAAAATTGTTTTGCTGCATACCATGCCTGTAACTGTACCTTTAATAGCAGTGCGTTTCAGTTTAAGTGTCTGAGCAGCTCTTTCACTTATAAATGTGGCTTGTGAGCCATGGTCTATTAAGGCACGTAGTACAGCTGTATGTCCCAGTTGATCCCTGACAACTATGAGTGCTGTAGCCAATAATGCTGTGGTGGTACTAGTAGCAAAGTGTGATGATAACTGAACATTTGATATTGTTGGATTTGCAGAGCTTCCTTGATCATTATTCTTCGCTTCGTGCGCTTGGTCATTGTTGGTTGATTTGATGACGTCACCATGTTTTGGTGCACTAAAGAGTGGTGACGTTTATGACATATACGACAGGACATGTTGAGGCGACATTTCTTTGCAGAGTGTCCTGGGGCCAAACAATTAAAACACAGATTGTGGTTCTTTAGATATTGACACCTTTCTGTTGGTTCCATCTTAGTAAATTCCCTACAGTGACACAGTGTATGATTTTCTTTACACATTAGGCAACTCCTTAATTTAGACGTAGCCGCAGTAGCAACATGTAGCGTATTTTCTTTATTTCTTATTATCTTGTCCCTTGGTGAAGGTGTGATTAACTCTAATGTACGAAATTTCGATTGTAAAAACTTACAGAGATCCGCCCACAAAGGTAATTCGTGTTAATTTGACTATTCCTTCATTGGATGTAATAGGGTTGGTAGGTATACTAGGATGCATTGATATCGGCTGTGTTAATGTTGACAATAAATCTCTTAGGTCGGCTTGTAAACATAAATATAAATCCTCATAAATAAAATAGTCTTCGTTTGCGAAATAAGGTATATTTTGCTTCTTTTCTTTGGGAACACATTTTACAAGCTCTTGATGTGATTTCTTAAAAGAATTCCAATACTCTTCTATCATTTGCAGTCGAGTTTCAATGTATCCTTTTCTAAGTCGCTGCTTAGGACATTTCTTTAGGTTGTTCTGAGCCTTTTGTAATAATGCCGCAGTATTTTCCAATAAAGATAATATTTGTTCCGGAGTAGTGGCCATATTTATATAAACGTTCCACAAATGTATAAAACGTTCCACAAATGTAATATAAACAAACTAGTTTTACTTCGATAACTCAAATATGTAATTATTCAAACGTTCGTAAAATGTCTTATAACTTGTACAAGTCACACTCAGGTAAAAAAAGGTTCTTTTGTTCTCATCTCGACCGCCCGGTCCGTCCTTTTGTTTAGCACTTGATAGTTATAACGTCACAAGAGACACGTCGTTAGATCCGGCTCGATTATCGACCATATGTTTTGGTATTAAGGTTCACTACTTTTACAGGGACTGATCACAGAAACAAGGTGTCAATGATACGGTGGTTTATTTGCTACTAAACATTTAAATTACATTTTACCTTATTAAAGACCTCACTCACACTTGTATACTGTTCATCTTACATACAACACACACGCATTACAATATTTCTCGAACAGTACGATTAGTGGCGGTCAAGGCGAAAGTCGCTCCGATCAAGGCACAAAGTATACCGCGATTAGAGTTGCAGGCGAAGTTAATAGGGGCGCGACTCACGGAATTCATACAGGGTGAATACAGAGTGGTAGCAGATAGGGTCGTATATTGGACAGACTCCACTACGGCACTCCACTGGATACAAAATAATACAGCGCGTTACACTCCATACGTGGCTCATCAGTTAGAGGAGATAGCTGAAAATACATCACCCGTGCAATGGAGGTGGATACCGACTGCGGAGAACATAGCAGATCAGGCAACGCGCATGAACTTCGTGACCAAAGAAGAAAGCGACCAATGGTTCACAGGACCGTGATTTCTTTACAAGGACGAAGACAAATGGCCTCACCGGAAGGGAAAGAAGACGGGGGGTTGTCACGAAGACATTTCCTCGACCGGACGGCATGGTGCGCAACGTCGAGGTCAGGACCAGGGGCGGAGTGCTGCGGCGACCCGTCAGGAAGATGGCTGTCCTATCGAGGGAAGCTTAGGCTCGCAGGCTACGTCTGGGGGAGGATGTTACTGATGGCGAAGGGAGCTGCCGCCCCGTCGCCCCTTCATACCCCGTTGCGCCCCGCGCACCCCGCACACCGGCAGCAGATCACGCAATGTCGATGACCAATCAGCGTACGGCATCACCTCACGACGCTACTCACATACTGAGACGCTCTCTTGCGGAATATAAGAAGGGCGTTTTGGTCTTTGAGGTGTTCAATTCGGCAGTTCATTTTGGAAGCGACACTCGAAGACAACAGCAAGCGAAGAAATCAAGAGAAGATTGAAGAGTGAAGACTCCCCTCTCTGTATATAGTTTATTAGTGCCGCATTTGTAAATATTTGAATAGAGTATAGTCTATAGTAACATGTTTCCTTTAAGCAGTCCCTAGCCTAGTAATTCATGCAGTCCACTGCAGTCCCAAATATTTGTATTACTGAACATTGGCTAAAAGATTATAATTTCATTTTTAATTTCACAAATCACCAGGTGGTCAGTTCCTTCAATAAATAAAAAAGTTTACGTGGTGGCTCATTAATATTAGCAGATAAGTCATTATTATATAAAGAACGTAAGAATATTGTGAGCCTCTTTGTTGAGCGAAATGTAGAAATGGCTTGTGTCGAGCTCGAGCACCTCATTGTTGTGTTTACAGACCCCCATGTGCTACTTATGACTATTTTGAAATGATTGAGGAAGAAGTTTTACTCAAACTTAGTAAACAGAACAAGTCTGTTGTAATATGTGGAGACTTTAACAACAATCTTGTTGAAACTTGTTCCATTAGTATTTAGTTTAGCTCATTGTTTAAATCGTATAATCTTGTTAATTTATTCTTAGAACCAACACGTATTGCTGGGCCTAGTGCGATCTGTATAGATAACATTTTTATAGATCTTAAGTCAAACCGCGCAACTCGGATTTTCAATTGAATATTAACAATAATTTAACGCAATCCGATCAAGAAGGCTTTTGAGAAACATTTTACTGATACTTTTTTGACAACAAAATCATTAAATTCTTCTTCAAACAAAATGTAAAGGCTTGTTCAAATACTTTTAAATTCCATAGAGTACTGCCGAAAGATATAGTTAAATATTTTAAAACTATTGATGTTAAGAAAACGGTAGACTTATGGGGGATTTCCGTAAAAGTGATTTTATCTATAATAGATATATTAGCACCTTATCTAGCCACTATATTTAATATTAGCGTCAAATCTGGTGTGTTTCCTGATTTAATGAAACATAGTAAAGTCATACCTATATTTAAATCTAGTAGTACATTAGACCCCGCCAATTTTAGACCAATTTCTGTTCTACCAATATTTAGTAAAATTTTTGAAAAAATTATTTTAGATCAGATGTTAAGTTTCCTTAATATTAATAAATTGCTACATAAAAATCAATTCCATTTTTCAAGGGGTCGCTCAACAACTGACGCTGGAGTTAAGCTTATTAAACATATTTTTTGTGCATGGGAGAATTCCGAGGATGCTTTGAGTATATTTTGTGACCTTTCCAAGGCTTTCGACTGTGTTCACCATGAGACATTAATCAGGAAGCTACAGTACTATGGTGTCAAGAATAAACCGCTTAAACTTATTATTTCATATTTAAGTAATAGAAAGCAGAAGTTTATTATCAATAGTAAAAGTTCTTCCGGTTCATCTTTACTAATGGGTGTCCCTCGGGGCTCGATTCTCGGCCCATTCCTGTTTCTGGTGTATATTAATGACTTACCTCACCTTGTAGGGGATGGTCATGATATAGTATTATTTGCTGATGATACTTCCTTGATTTTTAAACTTAAACGTCAATGATTTAAATGTGACGAAGTGAATAATGCTATATCAAAATTAGTGTATTGGTTTAACGTTAATAATCTGCATTTGAATGGAAATAAAACTAATTGTGTTAGATTTACAACAACGAATGTTAAAAGTCTGAATACCAATGTGTTTTTTAATGGGGAGGAATTGAGCCCTGTTGTATCCACTGTTTTTCTTGGCATCACTCTCGACGCAAAGCTTCAGTGGGGCCCACATATATCCAAATTAACAAGCAGACTAAGTTCTTCAGCCTATGCTGTAAAAAAGAGTAGAGGTCTCACTAGTATCGAGACAGCTAGATTGGTTTATTTCAGTTATTTCCATAGCAAAATGTCTTATGGGATTTTGCTATGGGGAAATGCGGCTGATTCAGAAACTATTTTTGTTTTACAGAAGAGGGCCATTAGAGCTATTTACAATCTAAATCCTAGAGAGTCTCTTAGATATAAATTTAGAGATATAAATATATTAACTTTTGCCTCTCAGTATACCGACGAAAATTTAATGTATGTTCAAAAAAACAAAC